CATCACTCCACCCTACCGCACCCTAAATCCCAACCAGGAGGTGCAGGGTGGGATAGAGACCCTTGAGCTCCCCAAAATCAATAGGGTGGGTGCCTGGACAGACTATTGAGCCTGCGAGAGCAGAGTTCACAAGCGACTCTGGGTTCCTGTCATCTTCCTTGCCCTTTGCTGCAAACTCACACCACCCTTGGTGCCTTGAACACTGAGGACTTGGAGGGCTCCAGCACGGCACCCTCACCCCAACACCTCCCCAGCCAGGACAAGGGCCGTGGGAGTCCCCCCCCATCCCGCTTTGTGTGACTCCCAGCCCGCCCGTCACGCCGGCACTCACCCTCCGAATCGACGCACACCGTGTGGTGCTGCCCGCCGGAGAACCCGACCCAGGACTTGGTGGAGTTCTTGAAGCACGTCAGGTTCTGCGGGGAGAAGCAGGGCTCGGTGCCCTGGGTCCCTGCGGGGTGGGACGCACAAACCCAGGCAGATCAGGCCCGCGGGCACGGACAGCCCAGGCCAGGCACCGGCCCCGAGCCATCCACCCTGGGGCTCACCCCACCGGAGACTAACACAGCCCCCCCAAAGCCCCAGAATCAAATTTCTGCTCAAACCCACTGGTCGCAGGAGCTGGGACCCAAACCCAGACCTATGCAGGGTGACCTCCCCACCCCAATTTCCAGCTCCGGTGTGTCCAGCAGCGTCCCCCGCACCAGGCCAGGGCAGCACGGGACTGGGAAGTCCACAGCCAGACCAAAGCAGGCAGGAGATCCGGAGGGACGTAAGCGAAGCTCACCCAGCTGGTGGTAGTTGGAGAGGCCGAATCCATAGATGTGTCCCTCCTGCGTGACGGCAAAGGTGAAGTAAGCCCCACAAAAGGCGTCCTGGAAGCGCATTTTGCCTCTGTTGCCTTTGCCTCTGACAGGGACGCACTGCGGGACCAGTAGGCGCTCTGGGGGCAGGAGACAAGGTGTCATACGAGGCCTCATGATTTACACGCTTTTCATCCCCCCTTCGATCCAGCTCACTGAATCCAAGCAACCGATTTACACACAAGCCTTTGAGCAGCAGGGGAAGAGACTGGGTCTCTTTGCTCCTCTGCAAAGTGCGGAGCTGGGGCCGAAGGACGCAGCACCACGCGCCTCCGAGCACCAAAGCAACTCACGCAGCCCCTTCCGTCCTCCTCGGTTGGCGAAGAGCGCCGGCACTCTCCCCAGCTGGCCCTGCTCACCACAGCCGCACGTGAAGAGGTCACCATCCACCGTCAGCATCACTAAGTGGTCGTTCCCTGGGAGGAGATGGGGGAGATGAGTGAAGCAGGAGTCCTGCTCCAGGAACCCAGCAAGACCTGGGGGCTGAGATCCCACACGTAAACCCCAGCTGTCCCAGCTTTCTAGAATTCAGTGGGGATACCTTGATGTCAGCTTCTGGTGCAACTTAAACCACCAGGATCTCCCTCTTCCTGATCCTGTTCCCCATCTGAAACTCCAAAGAAGTTTCTCTGGGAAGGTTTAGGGGAACAGGTCCCCCCCCACCTGGGCCCTGGACAAGTTCCCCAGCTGCTCTGCTCAGCTTCCCCAAGCCTAGAAGAGGGCGAGCGCTTTGACGCTGTGGGGTTGCGGTTAGGGCACTCTTTGTAAGGCATTTTACATCAGATTGGGTCAAATATTAACAACATCGCTGGGGCTAGAAGAGACACAAGGTCTGTTCTCTCAAGAGCCACAGGAAAGCAAGCACACCCTTGTACCTGGCTCGGAGCAGCCCAGAGGGAGGAAAAGGACAGGGACCTTCTGGACCTTCACCTCCTCCCGAGGGTTGCAACAGCCTCGTGCACCAGCCTGACCCGCGCGCACCCCAGGACCTCGCTCACCTGAGACAATTTTAACGACAGGTGTACTGAGCTGGAGCAGCACAGGAACGGAGCTCGTCTTCATGGGCTCCAGCAAGCCGATCACCCCATTGTTATCCTGGGTGGAGAGACAGACGCGGGGACGTGAGTCACGGAAGCAGCAACCATCAGCAGAGCTTCCAGCGTCCGGGAAATCAACATACCCGGAAAGAGCCCCAGACAAAAACCCTGCCGTCCTCCGTCAGCGCGGCTGTGTGGCTGTCCCCCGCAGAGACCTGCACCACCTTTTCCTGCAGCTCCACCAGCCCTGGCATGGTCTCCGACCCTTCTGCCGAAGTGTCGCGGCCGAGGGCGCCTTCATCGTTGCAGCCAAAGGTGTAGATCTGCAGACAGAGAGCGACACGGTCAGGATGAGACCCAGAGGGGCAACAGGTTGAGTGTGAAGCCAGGGGATAGAGACCCACCAGGCTGGATTATCCCTTTGACCCCCTAAAACTTTGTGGTCCATGGCATGGGGACCATGCTGGTCCCCAGAGCCAGAATGGGGATAGAGACCCACCAGGCTAGATTATCCCTTTGACCCCCTAAAACTTTGTGGTCCACAGCATGGAGGCCACGCTCATCCCTGGAGCCAGAGTGAGCCCCGCGCCTGGGCAGAGCAGGGTCCGATTCAGACGCCTCGCTCCAGGACACGTCCCGGAGCTCGCTGCCCGCTCCACGCTGCACTCACTTTTCCCGTCTGGCTGAGGCACACCGTGTGCATCCCTCCGGCTTCCACCTGCACCACCATCTCCGGCAGCGGCACCAGGGCCGGCTTCTTCCTCTCCATCACGCAGGCCCAGCTGGCCGACATCCCCCTGCCCCAGCGTCAGCACCAGGCCGGGCTGCGTGCGGTGGGACGGGTGGCAGACTGCAAAAGGGCGATAAATAACGTATATAACATACGGGGGGGAGCAACCCTTCTGTTAAAGCTGGTCCCGGGGAAGGGGGAGGAAAAACTCCCAGGGATTTTTCTTACCTTTAATCTTCTTCCTCCCAGGAGACTCTTCCTCCGGCACCGGGCTCTTCTTCGCAGTGCGTTTCCCCGGCATAGTGCTCTGGATCTACGCACCGAAGGCGCCCCGTCAGGGGGTCACCCACGGGGCTGCGCTGGAGACCCACAGCGCCGCTATCACTTCCTTGGGGTCTTTTTCTCCCCCCTCCCCACTTTCAAATCACCGTGGGTCTCCGGAGAGCCCAGTGACTCAATTAGGATTTGAGCACCGATCCCCACTCCCACTTTGCAAAAACGTAGGGTTTTTTTCTCGCGTGTTTTACCCGCTCTCACGCAGACGTGACCCCCTCCGCCCCCCCGGGGCAAGGCGCCAGGCAAGGCACGGGGGGGCTG